ACTTTAATAACAAAGCAGAAAAAAAGCTGATAGAGAGAGAAGCAGGACGGACAGCAGGTAACGTACAAGACCCTCCGCACAGCTCTGCACCATCATACAGCAGCACCTGACCAGCACAGACAGAATAGTTCAGATTTGGGAGGATGCACATTTTAGGATGGACTGAAACCAGTGATGGAGAATCTGCTCGGGTTCCATGAATCCTGCCCAAAATTCAGACTTAGAGGCGAACCCCATTGAATGCAATTTTGGGGGGGAATCTTGGTGAATTCCAGCCATTTTTAGAGCTAATAGGTAAACTACTGTAATAAAAAAGTTGGGGGAAGCTGGGGACTGCCAACCCCCCCCCCCTCTTTTCATGCATCACCGAGGGCAACATTGCAAGTGCACAAATATTTAAAATGCCGCGGTATGACAGAACAGCATGGTTTGTACGGACAGTCTCAGGGACAGCGTACATTGGCAGCGCATGCATACATCAGCAGCAACCCAATCTGACTCATTTCAGCTTCAAAGGACTTTTTCGGGTAGCTCTAGGAACAGCGATGCTTGCTTTATTATCAAATGTTATTGGATCCACTTTGACCAGCAGTTAGGAATCGGCCAGGGGTTCCCTGTGGCTGTCCCTTTTCTTGCAAAACTGTCTCGCCGCAGGACCATTTCTATCATGCTCCTACTAAAAGATTAGAGACCGCCGATGAAACAGCAGTGTAAAATTGACCAGCGGAAGGACAGTTTTGCAAGAAAAAGGGATAGCCACAGCAAACTACTGGCCGATTATTATCTGCTAGTCAAAGCGGATCCATTTACAGGCAGGGATTTTACTACAAGGATTAAGAGACTGTGGATGATACAGCAGTGTAAAATCAGCCAGCAGAAGGACAGTTTTCATTAGGGAGGATTGGATGAAATGTACTACAGAGAAGAGTACAGGCAAGTGTTTTACTACAAGAAGTAGGAGAATGTTGATGATACAGCAGTGTCAAATTGGCCAGGTGCGGGACAAATAAGGAGCAAGGCTAGGCAGAATTTACAGACAGAGAGAGCAGGTCGGGGTTTCATTAGCATGAGGAAGGTACTACAGAGGGGACAGTAGTGTAAAATCAGCCAGCAGCAGGACAGGTTTAATTAGGGACAATTGGATGAAATGTAATAGAGAGAAGAGTACAGGCAAGAGTTTTACTACAAGAGAATGTGGATGATACAGCAGTGTAAAATTGGCTAGCTGCAGGACAAATAAGGATCAAAGCTAGGCCACTTTTACAGACAAAAAGAACAGGTTGGGGTTTCATTAGCAGGATGAAGATATTACAGAGGTGACAGCAGTGTAAAATTGGCCAGCAGCAGGTTAACTACTGTTACATCCTGATCTGGATACACACAGATCAAACAAATGCTGCCATGCCGTGATCTGTATGCTTTTACTATAAAGTTAGAGACTGCAGTTGAGACAGCAGTGTAAAATCGGCCAGCAGAAGAACAGTTTTAATTAGGGAGAATTGGCTGAAATCTACTATAGAGAAGAGTACAAGCAAGTGTTTTACTACAAGAATTAAGAGACTATGGATGATACAGCAGTGTCAGATTGGCCAGCAGCAGGACAAATAAGCAGAAAAACTAGCCAAGATTTACAAAGAGAGCAGGCTGGGGTTTCATTAGCATGATGAAGGTACTACAGAGGAGACAGCAGTGTAAAATCAGCCAGCAGCAGGACAGGTTTAATTAGGGAGAATTGGAGTAAAGGGAAGTGTTTTACTACAAGAACTAAGAGAATGTGGATGATACAGCAGTGTAAAATTGCAGGAGGACAAATAAGCAGCAAGGCTAGGCCAGTTACAGACAAAGAGATCTGGTCGGGGTTTCATTAGCTGGATGAAGGTATTACAGAGGAGACAGCAGTGTAAAATTGTCCAGCAGCAGGTCAACTACTGCAACACTGTGACCTGTACACATGTCATGCAGAGAAAGTCGCACTGACATATGAAGTGAGCACATTTATTGTCATATCATTAATACCCGTGTTTTGTTTTCTTTTGTCTCAGTGTCATCATGGATCATAAAGTGAAACTGGTTTTATATTTCATGGTAAGTGACTTTTATAGAATTGTTTGAAAATTGGAATTTTAACACAGCGCAGCCTCCAGCGTGGAGGAGAGAAACTGTCTGGTGGGTGAGGTGGGTGGGAAGGAGAGCGATGTGAGAGGCTGGTGTGTCACAGGAGGTGGAGCTCTCCTCCCGCACCGCCCCACTTGGTCTCCTGTGACAGACCAGGATGGAGAGTTGTGTGGGGGCGGAGACAGTTGTCACAGGAGGGCGAGCGGGGCGGTGCAGGGGAGGAGTCAGCTGTCAGAAGGGATTGAGGTCTCTTCCTCGCACCGCTCAGCCTCCTGTGACAGCTGATCCAGGGTGGAGAGCGGGTACAAGCAGTCATGTGATCAGTAATTGCTGAGTGTTTGTAGATAGTTGAGGACAGAGTATGGTTACTATATCCCCAATTAGGAATGAATGGGAAGTGATCTACATCACTTCCTTTTCATTCATGATTGTGGTTATAGTAAACACACTCTGTCCTCATGTTATGAATGATCAGGAACACTCAGTATAGAGAATTCCTGTTCATTGATAACAGGGGATACAGAAAAAGAGACTGAGGACTCTGTGTGTCTCTGAGGACTCTATGTGTCTCTGAGGACTCTGTGTGTCTCTGAGGACTCTGTGTCTCTCTGAGGACTCTATGTGTCTCTGAGGACTATGTGTCTCTCTGAGTCTCTGAGGGCTCTGTGTGTCTGAGGGCTCTGTGTGTCTCTGAGGACTCTGTGTGTCTCTGAGGACTCTGTGTGTCTCTGAGGACTCTATGTGTCTCTGAGGGCTCTGTGTGTCTCTGAGGACTCTGTGTGTCTCTGAGGACTCTGTGTCTCTCTGAGTCTCTGAGGGCTCTTTGTGTCTCTGAGGACTCTGTGTGTCTCTGAGGACTCTGTGTGTCTCTGAGG